AGGCTCATTTTACTGAGTAATTTTTACATCGAACGAATTATCTTTAATGTTAGGTTTTCTTTATAAACATGCCCTTTTAAAAGCCTAAAATACTTTTGAATAAATTTCTATAATTCGGACAAGTTGAAATATTGGTGTCGCCTCCTTAAGTGAATATAGAAGGCAAATAGTTGGTTATTGTTAATTCAATTAGCAATGATTAAAACAATAGGATAATCATTTTATCTATACAAAAATATCTGAAACTTGTTCGATGCAATACCACAAAACATAATCGTTGATTATTAAATAATAATGATATATGCAAGACCATGCAAAAGAGATGAAAAAACTTACAGTTCTAATATGTTTCCTGATACCACCAGTTTGACCAACCATTGCGATAGAGCCACGATAATCTCTCACGTAACGTCGTGCTCCAATGCGTCGTAAAGCTCCTCTCGCACGCGAAGTCATACGGCGTTTGCCGTCAGCTTGAATTGCGATAAGCACATATTTCCTGCAATTAAAACGCAGAAAAATATAAGCTCATCAGTTCACCTATTTCAAACAATCTAGACACGCATAAAAACGCACAAATTGTTACAAACAAATTGTAACAAGATTGTTGTTAAGCCGATATCAGCTGTTGTGACAAGTCTGTAACAAGTTGTTTTAACCTTGTTACAAGGTTGATGACGGTATACTTTAGTCTATTGTAGCCCAGTCATTGACATTGTAAAATTAAATGCATCTACAACATTACTATTAATTTATATAATACGAACATTCCCACTTCTTTTTCTCTCTTAGTAGTATATATACTTCAAAACTTTCTGATTTTACATATTATGTATTGATTGACTGTAAATAATCGATTATGTGATAAAACGAACAGTAACTAGAGACCTAAAATAAAAAGTCTATGAAGATTTCTAGTAGGTCTCTAGCCCAAAATCTTCAAATTATTGTAATATATTTTAAGTAGATTTTTATACATGGGAAAATAAAAAAATTAAAAAAAAAAACAGACTTGCTACATTTCCGACAAGGCCAATACCCTTGCTGTTCGTGACAAGTTGCTAAGAGCTTGTTGTCAGGAACTTGTTGACAATTTGTTACGTGCCAACGATATCAGAGATTTGTTCGAACAACTTGTAGCGAATCTTTTGATCTCATCGACCTTGTTACAAACTTACAAGATGATAACAACATGTTCCAGACTTGTCAACAACTGGAAACAACAAGCAGTGCGAACACATCTTTTTCACAAGCTATGAGGCTTTTACGCGTGTAGAATTCTACACGGTGTACATTACCAGTATAGGTAGGGGAGTGTTCATTATTTATACCCGGGGTTGGTACCGAAGAGAAATGGGTTGGGTAAGCCATTTTTCTGGGGTACGAAGGGTTGGGTAAATATTTTTTGAACAAAGCCTATGGATGGGTAAATTATTTTCAATACAAACCTTCAATTGAACAAAATATGAAAATCCTTTATTTAACAAAATGGGTCATTCCAGGAAATATCCATTCATTCCCCACATAGAAAACTAAACTCCAACTCCCAATCCCCTCTGATTACAACGAGATATGGTAGGACTGCAGAAACATGGAGGCTTGGACATAATATGAACTTGTGAAGGTACAAATGATTATATTTGACATTCAGTTAGTGCACCAAATATGCACAGTACTGTTTATACTATAGTGACCTAGCTTGTATAGTAATGTATATGTATATATATATATATATGTAAAATACTTGTATAATTTTGAAATTGGGTTGGGTAAAATAAAAATCCAAGTCATGCAATAGTTGGGTAGGGGAAAAAATGGTTGATTGAAAGGGTGGGTGGTTGTTTTTTTCTCTTTTCGATTAGTTTCTCTTCAGTACCAACCCCGGGTATAAATAATGAACACTCCCTAGGGCAATCTAGTATGAATAAAGTTCCTCCTATAGTGACACTGGACCACAGGATGCGATAATTCGTGCACTCATTAACATTCTGGTAGTTCTTCGTATTCAGCCGCGTACATGTAAACACGCGGAACTTTTGTCATCTGCATACTTTTTCCCGGTACGATATGACCTTTTCTAGCCCAAGGTATTCAATACCGTAATTTACTTGGTATATATATGTGACATGTCTTGGCATGAAACTGATGGCACTAAGGAATGTTGGAGTCGATTGTTAGTTTTTGAAATTTCGCTTCTTGTTCTAACTCGTAGTTTGAATACTTTTCTGAAACTTGTACTTTATGTACTTTATTTTAAAGAGTAGGTACACATTGAGTATTGAGTTTGTACGCGGCAATAGTGATTGGCGTTCCGGTCAGGTAAGACAAAAAATGCTGAATTATCGCACTCTGGATCATTAACGATGGCGGTAGAGAATAGTTTAAATCTTCATGATAGAGCTATCTTACTTGCGAGGAAGCCTTCTCAAGAAGCGTGCCATACGATTTGATGCGCGACTAGATGCATGGGTATCGTAAGATACTTGTCTCTCCACATTTCCTGAAAATTAATATTAATTAGATGATTTCATTGTTCATTTTCGTCATATGCCGCAGCGATCGTAGCGATTTTCCGGTAAATAATAAGAGCATTGACGGACAAACGTACGTCCTTTGTCTAAAACCGGTTTTCCACTAGGTGGAATTTTGCGCGCGGAGCGGAATTTTTCTTTCTCTTGTGATTTCTCGGGTGGAACTAATTAGAAATAACAAAGAAAACGTCCGCTCCGCGTGCAAAATTCCGCTTAATGGAAAACGGCTTTAAATCGCTTTAATAAGTGAACAAGATAGCAAAATTCTTTTAGAAACCCAAAGGGAAGATGGCTGTGAAACTCATTAGAATAACAATACACCTCATTATCAATGTTAGTCAACGTTTATTGATAAATCTTACCGTCACGTGCGTATTGTATTTTATTTTTGCCCAACTAATCAATAGCAATGTTTTAGGAAAGTTACCTATCCATGACTCGAACAATAGGGTAAATTGGAAATTGCTATTGGTGGATTTGGCAAAAATACAATACACACGTGACGGTGAAGGACCGAATTTATGAATATACGTTGACTAACATAAATGAGTTATCTTGTTATTCCAATGAGTTTCACAGCCATCTTCCCTCCGATAGGCTATGGTTAAACAAACAACTGAAGTTGATGCAAAAGAAAGCATTTGCCCGCAAACCAAACCCAGCCACCAAACATATTTGAAACCTTAACCACCAAATAAACCAAAAAATATTTTGATACTGCAAATGCATCTTATATATCGACAAATTAAGACTAATTATCTATAACTATAACAGTTAAAACGTCATGCGGTTGAATTTTATGCGAAAACGCCATATTTGGTCAGCTATTGAGTTCATATGACGATTTCACAGTTGGCTATTTGCTAATCATAAACCATGAAACTTTGAATAAATAATAATGTAATTTATTATATAAACCTAAATGTTATAAAAAAAAATATCATTTGTTGTAAAACGCATTGCTACGGACGTTTTATTGTTTTTCACTGAATTTTGTTTATATAATAAACAGAAAAATACATGGGTGCTTGGAAATACCAGATTTATTTCTCGTGTTGAACATGATACTCAAAATAAATCTGCTATTTCCGCGCACCCTTGTATTATACTCTATTTATTTCATACCGGTGTTAGAATTGAGAACCACAATATTATATCCTCTTCTTTTTCGTGCGTAATCCCTTCCATTGATTCTGATGTATGCGAGTCCACAGCCGCCATGGCGACCTCTATCATCGCAGCCTTCGCTGATGATTTGAACGTTTAGTAACATCCCTGATGAAAAAAAGCAAGATTGAGTTGGTCTTTGTTGATCCGAACTTAAATATTTAACCTGTCGTACGGCTTTCTTTCACTGAAACAATTTTCAAACATTTGTAGGTTGAAAAGAAAACTTGTATCTGCATGATTTATTGATTTGTGAAAGTATTTGTCTCGTAAAACGTGCATGTAATTAAAATAATAAAAGCGTAAATAATTTATTTGCGCATGAATGGTACTATACCTCTTTTGGGGCGTTTTCCTATAGGAAAAAGAAGATATGACGTGAATTAGTAACAGAAAACCAAAATTCAAGATATAAGCGTAGCAGAGCCCATATCAGGGTTTATTTTAACGTGCAGTTCTACACAAAATGTGCAGTTCTAAACCCATTTGTGCAGTTCTTAAAACACAAATGTGCAGTCACCAAGCTAAAAAAAATAATAGCCTTAATTAAAACAGTCTTCTCATTTACTCGTTACCCTTATAAATGCTCCAGAAAATTCCAGCTGAAATGCTATCATTAATTGAGCATCAAAAATATAAACGATTTCTGGGGGAGGACTCCAGACCCTCCTATTTTCCTCATAAATCACTTACGTGCTGGGGTAATGGAAAAGAGGGTAAAATTGGGGCGAACGAAGCTCCCCAAAAGAGATTAGAGTGGGAGAACCTAATATTCTTTGCTGCCTCAAATGCACATTTAAGGTTGTTATATATTGAATATCCATGATTCCCAGTTACATGTTTTGAAACAGTTTTTGTGAGTGGTCGGGTAAAACAAATCTTTGTCAGAACTTAACAGTCTCTAGATTCAAATTGTTTTGGGGAACACCCCTAGCTCCCGCACCCAAAATCGAGTAAAAGGTAAAGTTTAATAAAATTTCGAGGTAAAGTTTAATAAAATTTTCCGGAAACGTACCTTTTGCAGCGTTTTTGCCGATGGTCGAAATGGCGTTCAGGTTAATTCCATTACTGGCTGCACCGGAACCACCAACGCCAATCACTGGAACACAAAAAAATATGAAATGTTTTAAAACAACAAAAGAACATTCCAGCATCACGCAAAGATATTTCATGAGATACTTTCTGGTGGACTAGTATCTCAAAGGGCGCGGTTTCGATTCCTACTGTGGTCAGACAAACTTTACAGCTTGCCCGGTGTGGATCCGATGCCGACTCAGAGTTACAACTAATGGCACGACTCGACTATCTTGGAATTTGCTTCATGACGAAAACAAGTTATTGAGATGGTAATTTTATAAAAATTTAGCGTTGAATGGAATGCCTCACTTTGTTATGGGTATGTTAAAGGGATACAGCAATATACTTCTTTATTATTTCATTTGGAAGAACTTTTAAAATTATATGTTAATCTCTTTTAACGATTTTGCGTAACTTTATTATTTCTTGAGATATTTTTGAACAGAAAAAATCACAAATCTGCGAGCTTTCCGCCATCTTGGATTTTGGCGGATATGCATGTGACATCATAAGCAGGGACACGCAAGAATTTTATCCATAGAGCAATTGGTTATTATGAACCCAAAATCATATACTTTCGTAACTATTTGAAATAAAAAACTGTCTGATGACTTTTCAAACAAGACATAATGTTATTTAGTCATTTAGATGTAGTTTTATATGGCTAACCTTGCTTATGTCGTCACTAAAATCACCGACAATGAGATAAAAATTAATCCAAGATGGCGGACAGCAAATTATTTTAAGTCAAAATATTTCAAGAAATAATAAAGTTACGCAAAATCGGTAAAGGAGATTAACATATAATTTTAAAAGTCCTTTAAAATGAAATAATAAAAAATATATTGCTGTATCCCTTTAAGGCAGGAGGGATTAAAGCGTTCATATGGAACATTTATCCCATTTGATTGAGATCCTACCTAGCGCAAGATGAGATCTCACCTAGCCGGACTGGCGAGTTTCTCATATGAACACAAATAAAATTTTATTTGCGCTAAAGGGGTATGGCAATAAAAATTAACTTTGTCTTATTTGGAAGAATTTTTATTGTCGGTTTGATAGGTTCCCAAGTTTGTTGTCAACTTGCCAATTACGTTTCCAAATTCGGAAGTTGGGCGGGAAATTCGCAACGAAGTTCGCAAGTTCAATTCAGAGTTCGAACTTCGATTGTAAACAAATGTAAAAATTTCATTTATAAATTTATTTAAAAACGCATTTTTCGTCTTGGGAGACCACTGGACCAATATTTTACTGCAGTAATATGTGCATATGGCCTTATACAGTAATTTCAACTGCAACTATGAACATTTGTTTACAATCAAAGTTCGAACTTTGAAATGAACTTGCGAAAAGTATGTCATTTACTAAAATGGAAATTGAGAAGTTCACGTCCAACTTCCGAACTTGACAACGTAATTGGCAAGTTCGCAACGAACTTGGGGACAGCGTGTTGAAAAGTTATCTGAAATCGACAATAAAGTTATGTATGAAGACCCTTTACAACTTTTTCGTACCTTGCTTGGTTTTCGAAATATTTTGACCAAAACCAGCGCGCAGTCTGCCATCTTGGTATTATAATTGACCCAATCAACTGAGTTTTTGATGACGTCACAAGCAGGGTAAACTTGTTAAAACTTCTTCATGTGGGACTAAATTTCTTCGAAACGTTTCTTAAAATGTTGCGAGTTAAATGAGTACTAAAAAAACTTCGGAAAGTCGAGTTTCATATTGATAATGACATGTGGTTTGCAAGATAGAAATTTCGCTTTTTACCCTACTTGTGACGTATGCATATCGAATGCATTTCCAAGATGGCGGACTGCACGCTGCTTTTGATAAAAAATAAGTCGATTTATTTCGAAAAGCAAGATAGGGAATAATTGTAAAGGAAGTTTATATATCATTTTAAATGTTCTTTCAAAGACAAACTTAATTTATATTGCAATATCCCTTTAACAAAGGAGATGCAGGTCTCACTCAGATGAGGCTGGGCTGAGAGGAACAGGCCCTTCGATGTAGTATAAAAACAAACAAAAATTTCGTTTCGCAAACAGTTGAACAGGTTATGAGAACCGTACCGTTATTGAGATTGGAAAGGAACGATATTATTTGACGTCTTCTCAGTCTTCTGAAATTCCAATTGAACATACAGAATTGTCGCGATGAGCAGATTGCTTGAAGCTGATTTCTATTGCTACGACCCATTCCCAATGCAAATATGGAAACACCGCGCATTTTCATAGACGAGCCATACGATCTGAGGTTTCCTGATCTCGATGCTGTGATCACGATCAATATTTGGCTGGCGTGTCTTCGTTTGCTTCTTGAGAACATATATCGCGCTTTGTTCAAACCATCGGGAAGATTGGCTGTTCTCGCTCCACCAAGATAGCCAGCCTAGAAAGAAAAGGAATATTGATTTACAGGATGAACATATCCAAAAATGTAAAGAATCCAAAGACCATGGTTTCACAAACACTTTCAAGGGTGGAAATCACGGGACATTGGTCCCAGAAAATTTTTGAGTTCCCAAAAAATATTTCCAAAAGAAAGACAAAAAAGAACATTTTAATAATTTAGATAAAAGGGGAAATTCAGAGAAAAAATTCTAACCAATGGAAAGAACGTTATCTGTACTTATAGGTATGACCTCAGAAATGCAATCATAAGTGCATCCATCTTAACAGTGTATCAATGTATAGAATTATGTAACAAATGTTGTATGGCAAATGCATTTTTAGCAAATCTGGGACACCTGATTCTCAAAATTTTCTGGGGGAGCATGGGATCCTGCACCACTAATTTCATTGTACCTTTCCAACTCTTCTTGACATGTACACGACATTTCTACATTGCCTGAAGTTGAAAACAAATCGGCCTCTTTTGCCGACAATAATAAAGCCAGCTTTCACGCCACGGCGAGAAATACCAGTTGCAGTGAAGATAATCTTGACAATTTGCAGAGCGATTCTAAAGTTAACTTGACCCATAGATTTTGAAGCATCCAATACGACCACAATGTCTGCAGCAACTATAAATACATGAGGAAGATTTTCTATATTAGTCGAAGATAATTTCATATGGATTGTTTCAAACAGGGTGATAAATCGAGATGAGCAATGGTGTTGAACTGAAACGATATCAACGGGGGGAGGGTCTCAAAATGGTGCGGGTGACAAGCCATGTGGGTGACTAGGTGTGGAGGGTGCGACATGATAAACATGGATAGTTCCAACATATATTTTTGGTTCAAACAGATCTTCAATTGACCTTATGCATAATGACGTCACAAGGCTTGATGCCCGCGAGGAATGCTGGTCTTAGTAAATGAGGAATGCTGGTCTTGGGGCCCGGGAAAATTTCGATAGTGGCGATTTTGTATTGTTTAATTTCCCGGACGATAACTACTAAGACCAGCATTCTTCGCGGGCATCAAGCCTTGTGACGTCATTATGCATAATGTCTACTCTTGGGTTTCATATGACGTCACAAAAGTGACGGGGCGTCAACTCTAAAACAAAGCACAGTTGTCAGAGTGAGTCGATTGTTCGTTTCATAAATACTGGGAGGCCACCACCCTTAATTAACGACACGAAGGGGGAGGGCGTCACACTACCACACATACCCCACCCCCTCCAGAAAGCAAAGCAGGTCAGTAACAGTTGGGAAAAAGCTGGTTTACAATATCAAAGTTTCTGTGATCACAGTAGGAATTTTGCATAGGTAGACTCTACGTTTTGAAGGATTTGTAAGAAATGTTTGAGGGAACTGATTCAATGTCGAACACGAAGTCGATTCCCTCAAACACTTCTTACAAATTTTTCAAAACTTAATTTACCTATGCAAAATTCCAACAGTGACCACAGAAGCTTTGATAGTGTAAACCAGCTCTAAATTTACGTTTTCAACAAATCCAAGGTTCGCTCAAAATTATCGTTTGTCGAGACCTACATAGTTCACTGGAACTTCATGCACATTCAAGGGCAAATAGCTGATACACGACTTCGTATATAGGCTCATGGCGGACTTAAACTGATGGTATGATTATTATAAATGGGCTATTCTACATATGCATGATTACTTACCGCTTCCAGCACCACTTGAATAACCAACAAGAGCTGAAATTACAAAAAATTGTTAGTCAAAACTTTGATACAATAGCAACCTTCCCAAAAATAGAAATTATATAGAAAGATGTGTAAAAGGAAAGACTTGCCAAGAAGACCTGTTAGGAAAAACAAAGAAAACCTTGTCACTGAAAACTTGTCAATGAAATCAGAAAAAGATGTGAGCAACAGTAGAAATGATATAGAAAGATATGTAAAGGGAAAGACTTACCAAGGAAGAATTGACAGGAAAAACAAAGAAAAAAAGTTTCAGAAAATTGACACTGAAAACTTGTCAATGAAATTATAAAAAGTCAAGGAAAATGTCAAGGAAAATACCCAAGGAACAGGTCAGTATTTATGGCGGGGGGTGGCACCGAAGAGAAAATGGTTGGGTAAACAAAATTTTATCTGAAAAAAAGTTTGGCAAATTGAAAAACAAAATCACTAAGGATTGGGTAATAAAAGTTGGTCATTTCCAAAGCATGACTCACTCAAATATTGAAGACTAAAAACCAATATCAACAGTCATATATCATTACAATATGTAAATCAATCCGAGTTACCAGCTATCTTGAGCACTTTCCGATTTGTCAGGAGACAAATGGTGTCTCCAAACAAACTACATGTGTGGACAACATGAAACTTTACACTGCAGAAAACTGCACAAGCAGTTATCAAACTCATGTTACAGAAGTGAGAAAGGATATGTGTAACAACCGAATGGTATCGTTTTGTAACGTTCTTGGCCAGGGGTGGGTATTCATTTCTTAATTGATATTTGAGGTTGGGTAAAAAACGTTTGACTTTTGGTTGGATCAGCAAAATTATTACAAAGAAAAACATTTCTGTCCGGTGCGACCCCGCGCTATAAATAATGACCGATCCCCAAGGACACATGATTGGATGAGTTGTCAGGGACAAACTTGTTCATTTGTACCCAAGCTGCAAGTGAACACAAGTGAAGCAAATACCTTGTCCAATTCTAGTTATTACGGTTCGAGTCTTTCTCCTCAAACCATTCGCGTTTGGTACACGCGCGGTGAACCTTGGAGTTGTAGCCATGGCATTCAACATCTTCTGAGGCACACTTCTGCTAGTTCCGATCGCAAACACAAGTATCCCAGAAATCCTGGCACTTCCGGCAGCTGAGATGTAACGCTGACCTCCTGATGCGATACCGTTCGCGAGGACGACCAAAACATTGGGTATCCCTTTGCGTGCGGTTCTTCCAAATAGCTGAGTCTGGGCAACTCTGAAGCCCTGATGTAACATGAGGTTTCCTGCAGAATTTCTCACTCGTCTGAAAGCACTGTCCAGTTGCCTCACATTCATATAGGTATTCAAGTTGAACACAACACGTGCACTATTAGAACAGATTACCAATCCCACGTGGGTATCAGCTCTACCAATGGGAAAAGCTCTATAAATCTGCTTGACGAAGGCAATCACTTGAGCAAAGCTTCTTGCATCCATTCTGGATGACACATCAATTAAGAATCCTAAATCAACTTTGGTTCCTGTAAAAAATATACACTTCCATCAGATGCCTTGAACATGCAGAAATCTCAAGATACTGGTAAATGTACAATAAAGCACAAAAAATACACTAGATACGTAAAAATCTCACAACTTGTCAACAAGATGTGTTCGCAACAAGCTTGCAGCAAGCTTGTCAACAAGTTGTAACAATGCTGTTATTTTATCAAGTTACTACAAGGTTGTCACTCACAACTTGTTGACAAATTGTTGAACTGCAGGACGATAGCAAGTTGTTGAGCTCAACAACCTTGTAGCAAGTTGTCAACAAGCCGTTGACAACTTGTTAACAAGCTGGGAACAAGCAGGGCGAACACACATCCTGTTAACAAGTTGTTGGAACAGAATTGCTACAAGTCTGCTGCAAGGTTTGTTGCAACTTGTGCGTTTTTGCGTGTGTAGCCTAGTGACTATAATTGATGGCTCTATTGATGAGTCACATGTACTTACTGTACTTAATATAAAATTATGCAAGATGTACTAAAATTTTTGAGTTTGAACTACGTTTCGAAAGTTAGTCAAAAAAAGGGCATAGAATGGCTAAACTAATTTCAATACAGTTGCCATTTGCTCGTGATTATTGGGTATTTCTATGAAGTTAATTATTTCTCATTAGATTAACAATTCAATGCCAAAGAATTGTAATCTTGACATGGCCATGGGCAATCTTTTTCAGTTATGCTATACATGTTCGTTGTACCACAACTAAACGATATATCAAGCTTTGACCAGATATAGTATTTAATGGGCCATTTTATGCTAATTATTAATAGCACTGTCAAAACTGTTTGTTCGATTTAAACATCGATAGCTAAGTTAATATCACAACAAAGAGTTGTTCTGGGTTTTCCGCTATATGGACAACTTGCATGTTAGACGAAATTTTAATCTAAGTAAAGAGAAGGGGATCAAACACTACAGCTAAAAAGAGCATAATGAAATTAGTAAAATTGCAAATTTGGTTGCGAAATGTTGTAAAGCTTGGAAAATATAGTCTTGCAAAGTTTGCAAATTCTGTATATGTTTGTATTACGTGCAGAAATTGTTACCATTTTCGGCTCAAGAATGGTAACAATTTCCGCACGTAATACAAACATAATAACAAAATATGCAAACTTCGCGAAGCTATATTTTCCGTATTTTACAACATTTCGTAACCAAATTTTACAATTTTATTAATTTTAATAAGTTCTTTGCGGGAATATAGTTTTTTTGCCTAGATCAAAAATTAGTCTGACATGCAAGTTGTCTATTCAAATAGCGTATTGACCGGCAGGACTAGGTAATTCCTGACTTACCTTGAGGCATAGCAATAACTGGAATTCCAGTACCAGGTCGAGGTGGTGGGTCAGTTTGACCAGCATTTGGATTAACACCAACTAATGCGTTAACAGGTTTAGCTGAAAACAAAAATTAGAGAAGTTAATGGTATGGCATAACATGGTTTGGTATGATGTAGTATTAAGGTCTGGCGCGGTAGATATGGTATTACATAGTACTAGTAAGGTATGGATAATTTGGTCGGGTATGGTTTGGGCATGGTCGGGTATGGTATACTGTAGTTTGGTATGGGTGACATGGTGTATAATGGCACAGTTTCGTATGTATGGCATAAAGTAGTATGATATGGTACGGCATGGTGTGTTACAAAGGCGGATTTTCATTATTTTAAAAGGAGGGGTGGAAAATGTCTAGTGGGGTGCAAGCGGCACCACTGAGCAAGCTTCAGCAGGGGTTAAGCATTGGGGTTAAAGACTTTCACACAAAATAGAAGGGGTGAAGCTGGTGGGGTTGAACACTTTATAAGAAGGGTGAGAGAGATTCTAGGGGAGGGCTTAACCCCCCCCCCCCAGTAAATCCATCCATGGTACTGTGTTATGTTATGTTATGTTATGTTATGTTATGTTATGTTATGTTATGTTATGGTATGGTATGGTATGGTTTGGTATGGTATGGTATGGTATGGTATGGTATGGTATGGTATGGTATGGTATGGTATGGTATGGTATGGTATGGTATGGCATTTAATTGACAAAACGGCTTCGGCCGCCATTTTGAAAATCGCTTAGGTGATTATCGCGTCATAATCGCCTCAATGGCAACCAAACAGCGTGGAAAATTTTCAATAATGACCTATGTAGGCAACGTTTACACTGTACCGTTTTCGTAGCGTTCTCGTATTGTTCTTAATCCTCAAGGGAACGCAAGACAATAGTCTAGTTCTCTCGAACAATACGAGAACGCTACGAAAACGGTACAGTGTAAACGCTGCCGTAATTATACTAATATGGTATAGCATGGCCGATGGTATGGTGTGGTGTGGTGTGGTATGGTATGGTATCAAATGCTGATGTGGTTTGGTATAGGACAGTGTGATATCATATGGTGTAATATTGATATATGATATGATACGATATGGAAGAGTGCAGCAATGAGCATTACATAGAGTATATGGCATGGAACAGTATGGTGTTACAAGGTTTGATTCTAAACACCCAAGAAAGGCCAAGATAGTTACAGGATATGCCATACGAAAATACTACTAGTGCAGGAGAGAGGGGTTTGAAAGTGTTTACTTATAACAGTAAATGTCTGTAACTATAAAAAAACGTGAACATACCCAAAGTGATCTTATTCACAATTATGGCAATAACGTTCATCAATCCAATGAAATTAACAACCACACGGTTTCCTCCAGCGGGAGGCGAGGATATGATGGTAAGGTCCGTTTGATCAACGGTAGGAATAACTCCAACTGTTATTATAGTAACACCAGCTCTTTGGACAGCCAAGGCTTGAGAACGAAGACGACGGCCTCTGTTCTTGCCAGCCGTAATTACCAAAAGAACATTAGGAGTGTCTTTCCGAGATGAAGCAAATACTCGTCTGGCACGTGCTATCGAGGTGGCTAGGTTCAGTCTGCCACGTTTCTGGCGAAGTCGGTTGATAGATCGCATCATTACCCTTTTGTTTCTGGTATTGAAGTTGAAGAGAATACGCGATTGACTCCAAGCTGCGATGAACGCGATACGGACGGATCTTCGCGAGACCTTAAATGCTTTAATGATACCTCTAGCAAATGCTTTCAATCTACGGAAGTTCGCTCGCAAGTAACGAGTACGCATTGATTTCCGTCCCATTCTGCTGGCAATGTCGAGAATGATCACAAGGTCGACGGCGACCGACGTTCCTGAAAACAAAGAAATAAACTTGAATGAAGTTACATTTGAATGGGTGCTAGATGTTGGTAGGTTAGTTAAAGCAGTAGTTAAACGATTATGAAGAAAAGCGTTGCTAGGAAGCAAAAGATTTGGCTACGGAAAGAGTCTTGAATTGGGGCAGTCACGATTCCATTTCCCGGCCCAAATGTTCTCTGCATCTCTTTTTAGATCAAATCCCATGATTGACGAAATTTTGATAGAATTAGACAAGAAGAACAAAGTCCATTACCATAGCTGGAAGAACATCTTAAAGTGAGTAAAATTGCAAAGTTTGGTTGCCTATAGTTGTTAAGGTTACTTCACATGATGAACGTGCGTTTTGCTATTGAACATGGCGCAACGAATTTTAGGTGCAACTTTACCAAATTTTTAGTGAAGAAAGCCAAGAAAATGCTGATTTCGAAAATCTTCATTTGATGGGTGTTCTGTTTAAACATGTCCAGTATTAGTTGACTAAAGAAATATATAGGTATCCCATAAAAAAATCAAAATATGTTTATAGTTCACCTCAACGTAGGTCTACATATCTCGATTTGAATCTTCATAGGCACGGTAAAAAAAACGTGTGCGGAAAATTTCTCTTCTTCAATGGCTTTTCTGATATGACGTTTTCTTTGACAACTTCGTGAATTATCAGTGACAAATCCAAGAATCAGGGCATATCAGAAAAACCACTAGAGAAGAGAAATTTTCCGCACACGTTTTTTTTTACCATGCCTATGAAGATTCGAATTGCGATATCTAGACAAACGTTGAGGTAAACTATGAACATATTTTGATTCTTTTATGAAGGTACCTATATATTTATTCGGTCAGCCAATACTGAAAATGTTTAAACTGAACACCCACCAAATGAAAATTTTCGAAATCAGCATTTATCTGACATTCTTCACTGAAAAATTGGTAAAGTTACATCTAAAATTCGTTGCGCAATGTCCAATAGACTAAAACGCACGTTCATCGTGTGAAGTAACCTTAAATGAGGAAAATATAGCCATGTGAACACAGAATTTTTTAAATTGTCAAAATAATTGATTATACTAAGAGAAATCATTTCCTAAAATAAAATTTGGGGATCACCGATTTGCGGCGAAAATTGATTTGGTGTGATCTTCTTCTGCTGATGGATGTGAACGAGTGGATGAATTATCAAATGTTCAGATGAAAATACATATACTTAGAACAATCATAACTCATCTACAAGCATTCGAAGAAGATAATCGCACTATACAGTAATCGCAGCAAAATTAAATCGCAAGTGCAAACGGGCCTGTACGAATTTACAACCAAAGTCTGAAACCATTTAATTTGACGTCAAATATATTTGTACTAACTTGATTTCTTCTGCTGAATGGCACCAGCCTCTGAAATAGAGATAAGGAATAACATAATTAGTAAATAATAGTCACCATAGTGAATTCAATAAAATCTTCAAGAACGATACATGTGCGTGACAGTGCTGAAAATAAGAACGAGAACGTTTGAGAACGTTTGTAAATAATTAGCTTAATTTGACAATAACCCTGAAATAAAGTCGAAATATCATCACCATAATTTGTGTCTTGTTTTCTTTCAACAACACATATCTTGAGTTTAGAATATGGCATAATTATTCAGAGTATGTTTTTTTCTTATATATCTTAAAAGAGTCTGTCTGCTGGTAAAGGATACACCTTGTACAACTCCAGGAATACGAAATAACACTAACCTTTACAAACTTTTGATTGCATTTTATTGATAATTGATCTCAATCGTGAGAAACCAACAGTAATAACATGTTTGTTCTTAGGAGAGCTAGCCATAACTCGCAATTGTTTTCTGTTATACCGCCTTCCAATGCCAACAGCGTATATGGAAACGCCAGCTCTGTGTAATTTTCTAGAGTAACTATTGACCCTGGTACGTGATTTACCATCAGTCATGACAATGAGCATCCTAGCAACTCCTCGACGTGCTCGACGTAATACTTGCTGGTAGATTGTCTTTAGGCCACGTGCAGTGTTGGTGCCTTTTCTTGGGTACCTAGACAAGACAAAAACATTTTTCCAGTTTAAGAAATGAATACAGTATCTAACAGAGAAGACAGCAGAGAATGCTGCTGAAACGCTTTTTAGTACTAGAGTTGGATATAGTATCTTTTGAATCCAATATGCCAATTTTGAAGCCTGGATATTTATAATGAGGAGAGATATCTAAATCTGTCAAATTCTTCACTTAAATTGCTTAACTATCAAACAAATGTCTTTGCATGCCTGTGTAACTTGGAAGATATAGAGTAGCTTCCCAAACCTCTTGTAACGATTTTCAGAATGTTTGATACGTTAGATAATGAGACTCTAACGGTGTAACTTCATTAGTTAATTCACCAGCAATTTTGAATTGAATTGAATTTGAATTTATTAGATTTTGTCACACAAATCACACAATCACAGATAATTATTTACAGAGGTCAGAGAAGTATTAATTTACAAAAGGGTAATAATAACAGTTTACAAGAGTAGGTATTTATGTGACGAGGAGGTTTAATGAAAAACCAATTGGCTTATTATGTGTAACAAACCTCCTCTTATCTTAAATTTATCTCAGTGATAATTATATGAACAAAATTGGTTTTATTAATTATCTATAATATAAGACGAGCAGAGATGCTTTTTCATTTTTTTGGAAAATGACGAATATGATACACTATCTATTATATTATTATTTAGATTGTCATAAAGAAGTGGACCTTGATATTTAATTGAAAATTGCCGTAGATTTGTTCTTGGAGTTGCAATGTAAAATTCATTAGCTCTCAAGACGAAAGCAAGGCCGCTGATGACAAATTTCTATGACAATAGCTGTTCTTACCCACCAATAACGAGGAACTGTCAGAAAACAATGATTCGTGGTGGTCATACCGCCAATAGTTTCATAATCGCCACTGGCAGTCATACTGTACTTTGCGGATCAGTACCCAAAAGTAGTATGGCAAGAACAAAGGGAAACATGGACCAATCATGGTAGGAAAGAACAAAAATATAATTTTTCTGTCACATGCTTCTGAAAAAAGATTACACTTACCTGATTCTATCAACTGCTCGGTAGATCTGTCTGACATTACTGTAACTATTCAGATGGAAAATCACTTTCGTTCTTGACGAGAAAACTGTTACAGAGATACGTCCTTTTGCTCTGGAAATACTGAACGATCCGGCAACCTGTTTGACAAAGTTCAAGCAACGTTTGAAGTTTCCTTTGCCATAAGATTCGATGCTTCCTGAGCCATCCACCAAAAACATCAGATCAATCTTCGCTTTACAACTCCTTGCTCCTAAAGGCAAAAAGGACAGCAAAATATATAAATAGGCCAGTATGAAATGTTGAAAGAATTTGTTGATGACAATTTCGAATGGAATTTTTATATAACTGTCACAAGACCACATGCTAAAGATATTAATTACTTCCATTAAAGGTGATCTACAGTCCGTATGTAAACAAAGCCTTTGTTTACATTTTTGTGTCCAAAATATTGAGCTTTATTCGACAACTATTTATATTTTCAAGCTTCTAGAACTTCTAGAGTATAATAAATGATCAAGAAACAACAATCAGGCTTTTCAAGAACTCAAAACATAGTTAAACTGTTTGTATCATAAAAAGTGGGCTCATTTGTGCACATGCGCAGATCGGACTGTAGATCACCTTTAATATTATAATATTGTATACATGGAAAGATACATACTGGTAAATGTTTTAGAACACCATTTCCCGGCTGTTACAAAAATAATAATATCTAACTCAAAATGCAAACAATTCAATACTGCTTTGGTTTGTGTATTTATGCACGTCATATACATATTCACCAAAATTGCAGGATTTACTACTTTTACCAAAATGTAGTTGTGACCATATTCATCCGATTATCAACATTTTTTCACGGAGATTCTATTGCAAAGTGTTTGGTCAGTGGGTAGTTTTCAAATTTGGTCAAAATTAACTTAACAGAAAAAATAACACTTCAAAACCTTACAATTCGGTTTATTTCGGTTATAAATTATTAATATTTGAGTGAAATTAAAGGAACCCAACTCCCAATACATGCTTAAAGCGACACAGAAGAATAAAAAATAAAAATACGATTGTACGAGAACTTTGAGATATCTAGCCCCAGGTAAATTTTGAGATTAAGAAACCTCGCAAACACCATTTTCTGGCAGTCTGGCAGTCTTAACGCCTTTTCGAGTCGAAGACGAAAGCAATTCTATCGGTAAAATTTCTTTTAATTTACAAAAAAGTGAAACAACCAAATTAAGTTTTCAATTGACCACTATATGTGCACCAGTCAACATAAAAGATCCACATAATGGATCCACATAAAAGAAGATTTAAATCCGACTGTATTATGAAAGTGGTCCATATGCACCAACCATGGCAGCTTATTTTAAGAATACTGGTAAGTCCGAGCTGTGTTTTGATGCTAACTTTTTCCAGGAATGTGCACAGAAAATCAGCCTATTATCTACAGTATACCGTTTTCTGGTAGTATGTCTGACAATGCAACTAAACTATAAATTATAAATTAGAAAATAAAATTATAAAAAATACTGATAAATTTTAATAACATACAAGACCCTTTTCTTAAATGAACCGACGGAACTGCAAACTCACGAGTGCTTGTTTTTCCAAATTGCACGAAAAAACTATTAATAATACTATACATGAGAAATTATGCAGAAGCAAAGTCATGGTGACTTTAATGCACGAAACACATGCGAAATAAATAATTTACTCAGTGACACTCATTTGAACGACATAACAACTAATAACATTTCAACCGTCAGAAGTCAAAAACATATTTCTGTAAAATTGCACACCTCTTAGTCATGCAAAATTTCTTACCTTTACATACAGTTCTTTGTAAGGGTTTTAGGGCCCTGGACAAGGCATTGAAATTTTGCTTCATTATATGCCTTCTATCCGTTGCCATATACGCAAGTTGCTTGTAACTGAATTTTGAACCAAGACCAACAGCAAACACCTCTGCTCCACTGGCTTTAAGTCTTTGAGCAGGACCTCGCACGCTGTCCGCGGATATGCCGTCCGTCATCACAATCACAACCTAAAACATATTCATTTATTATTATTTTATTTTACGGTATATTACATTACTTCACGGTACTTTACTTTACTTTACATAATTTAACTCAACATTGGTTTAGCTTACATCACTTTACTTTACATTTTCTTACTTCACTTCACTCTAACTTCATGCTACTACAAGCTACTCCACTCCAGCCCACTCTACTCCCCTTGGCTCTATTCCCCTCTATTCTACTCGACTCCACTCAACACCCCTCTACTCTACTTCCATCCACTCTATTCCACTCCACATTCCCCCACTCCCATCTACTTTACTCCCATCTACTCTACTCCACTCCACACCCCTCCCCTTCACACCACTCCACACCCCCTACTCCACTCTACTCTACTTTACTCCCATCTACTCCACACCACTCCCCTCCACATCCCTCTACTCCACTCTATTCTACTCCACTCCCCTCTACTCTACTCCTAACCTGCGATCAGGTCTATAAACAAATAAAGATAAATAAATATATTTGTAAAATAGAGCCTGATCTCAGGTTACTCTCTACTCCCATCTGCTCCACTTCGCACCACTCCACAACCCCGACTTCCCTCTATTTCCTTCTTCTTCATTCGATACTCTATACTCTCCACTACTCTCCAATTCACTCTCTCCTGCCCTACTCTGCTCTACTCTACTCCACTCTACTTTAGAAAGCCCCCATAAATCTATGGTCCACTTTTAAAACAGGAGGAAAGCTAAACCACAACAACTTTACTTATACTAGATAATTCTATCAGTTCTGTCTGAACTGTTCTACCAAGAACTCTGATAGGGCTCGTTCCCATTTGGTTCAGTACTACTGTTACTAACCTGTATTATTAAACCTAAACTAAATTATTGCTGCAGAGATAAGCGAGGATATACACCTCGATCTGTCACTGCAAAACCGTGAAAAGGTTTAGTTACCTTTGCTACAGCCTTTCTAGCTTTTCGCATAACACTATTTTGAACCAACCGCAATGCACTTCCGATCTTCGTTCCACCTTTAGGGTAACGTATCCTTCGGGTTGCTTTAACGACAGAAGCCCTACTCCTATAAGTGCCTAACGAGAACACGGTCTTTGCGCGATGCGAGAACAATACGATAGCCACTCGCGTTCTGGAGGGAGATATCACAAACGACTTCTCCACTTGCGTGATGAAATTTAAACAACGTTTGAAGTTTCCTCGTCCAAGAGCTTCGATACTGCCCGAGCCATCCAGAACAAAGATAAGCTCAAGTGGACTCTTGCATGCAGTACCTGAAAAATGAAACAAGGAAATTACACAATGAAATAAGTTATATTGCTATGCGTACACGGCAAAAAACGCCGAGCCCGCTGCTTAACATGAGTGAACAATGTTTTGCTGCCCACGTTGTTCACACTTGTCAACAATATTGTTCAATATTGTTGACAACTGTGAACAATGTGGGCAGCAAAGCACTGTTCAATCCTGTTTTCATCAATATTGCATCAACCTGAGCGTTTTTACGCGTGTAACCCTGATCATGATTAAGAAGCAATTTTTTTCAATGTCACGTATTTGCAATGAAAAGTGTTCAAAACCTAAAATCTTTTTGGCGTTCGTCTGAAAATTACTTTGTTTTAGCTGTATTGTCTAGTTTATAGAGTTAGCAACCTTTTTAAATGCATCTGCCGGTTGAGAATCATAAAATAATAATTAAAAATTGTCAATTAAAATACAATTATCAATGATGCTTTAAATTGATGCCAAATTGATGCCAAATTGACGCCAAGTCTGGGCCAGGAAAAAATGGGCCAGGAAAATGATTGTTTTGCTGCTCGCTATAAATCGAGGAATAGAGTAGCCAATTAAAATACAGCATTTGCAACAGTATGCTAGTATGATTCTATTAATGATGGATAAATGATTTTGACAGCTATTGACTGTATCCTTTCGATAAGTATATCGGGGATGTTATGCCAAATTTGGGTACAGAAAAATCATAACTCATGATTCAGATGAAGGTACATACACTCATATGTAATGTATCGTAACTCATCGACATGCATCAGAAAAAGAAAATCGCACTTTATAGAAATCGCAGCGAAAATCGCAAGTGCAAACGGGCATGTATGAATTGACAACTAAACCATTTAATTTCACGTCAAATATGTTTGTACTTACTTGGTTTCTTCTTCCGAATGGCACCACCAGCCTCTGAAATACAGAAAAGGAATAACAAAATTAGCAAAAAACAGTCAACAAACTCATTCCACTTAAAAATTTTCCAGAATATGACATGTGTATGACAGTGCTAGAAAATGTCCGACAGCGTCAGAAATATTTTGACAGCACTGTTGCCGGGAAATGTTTTAGCAAAATAATTTTGTAGGAAATTTTCTTACATGCATCTTGCAGGAATTTTTTGTCATCCCATGCAACTTGAATGTCGTACAACTTACTTTACTTTACGTTTACAAAAAAGTTTTGTAAATCGAGATTGTCTGGAGCCGAGAAAGAAATTGACCACAATGGCGGCAACTATAACAATTATAGCCACGGTTTGTGGTTATAAGGCAAACCTTTTACCAACGGTTAGAGCAAAATATTATTGGGGGGGGGGGGGGGTGACCGTCTATGATATGAAATGACACTAACTTTTACAAGCTGTTGATTGGATTTTATTGATGATTGATCCCAATCGCTTGAAACCAACAGTAATAACATATCTACTCTTAGGAGAGCTTGCCATAACTTGCAATTGTTTTCTATTATACCGTCTTCCAATGCCAACAGCGTATACGGAAACGCGAGCTCTGTGTAATTTTCTAGAGTAACTATTGACTCTGGTACGTGATTTACCATCAGTCATGACAATGAGTACCCTAGCAACTCCTCGACGTGCTCGACGTAATACTTTCTGGTGGATTGTCTTTAGGCCAAGTGCAGTGTTGGTGCCTCTTCTTGGGTACCTAGGCAAGACAAAAAAGTTCTTCCAGTTTAAGAAAATACAGTACCTAACAAAGAAGAACAATACTCAACAAGTAACAGGGAATGCTACTGAAACGCTTCTTAGTACTAGGGCTGGATATAGTATCCTTTTGAATTCAATAAAGCCAATTTTGACACCTGGATGTTTATAATGAGGAAAGATTATTGACAAAATTATTCACCTATTGAATTAGTAGGTACTTAAATTAAAACTCTCAAACAAATGTCTTGGCCTGGGTAACTTGAAAGATATAGATTCCCGCACCTCTTGTAATAAGTTTAAGTGTGTTTGATACGTTAGATAATGAGCAGGGACGCCGGAACTGGGGGGCAGGGAGGGGGGCGGCTGCCCCCCTTGCCTTTTGCTAGGGGGGCAGGGGGGGGCAGAAGGGCCCTTTTAGTTGTAAAATATTAGGTGATAAATCACATTTCCAACGATGCTTTTTGTAGGAAAATGATGAGATTCAGGTAATTTATAGTTAATATTTATAAAAATTTTGGAAAATTTTTGAAATTTAGAAAAATATTTTGAAGAAATGGCTAAAAGTTAAGATATGCGGAAAAATTTTTGACTTCACGGAAAATTTTGGTATGTCCGGAAAAATTTTTTGACCCCTAAAATGGTACACTGACCGGAAATTTTTTGGCGACGGGGGGGGGGGGAAGTCGCCCAAAAATTTCCATGGAAAAAAAATTTTCCGGTAGATTTTGAACTTTTGCTCTATAGAGGTGCCCTTGGTGTGCGTCCGCCCCCCTTTGCCTTATTATCGTTCCGGCGTCCCTGATAATGAGACTCTAATGGTGATGCCTCATTAGTTAATTCACCAGTAATTTAAAGACGAAAGCGAGACCGTTGATGACAAATTTCTATCCAGACAATAGATGTCCTTTCCCCAACAATAACTGTCAGAAACTCTTCTAAAGGCTTATACTATCAAAGTTTCTGTGATCTGAAAACACTGAGTCAGTTCCCCTCAAACATTTCATGCACATCCTTCAAAACTTACAATTTACCTATGCAAAATTCCTATACTCTGCTCATGCATACAAACATTGATGGTATAAACTAGCATTAACATGTCAGCAATCCCAGCCTGCAAATTAGTGCAGGTCATCGGACATTGACATGTGACGAACCGACTTAGGTTTTAGTATCTCAAAAAATTGATTTTGAACACAATTTCATCAATGAAACCAAAGCAATATAAACGACACTCTTCCATTATTTCTTGGCTGCATTAAGCCGTAACATTTAATTACAAATATAAATCGTCTTCCTATAGCATGGTAGAAATTAAAGTTATTTATAACCTGAACCATAATTTATTGAAAATGCGGTAGAACTTGTAGATTTATACCAAGGCAAAAAAAAAATATGTGGGTTTCCGGTTTCCCGACCCTACCTAGCTTTTAGACGCCGAAATCCCGACCCTAAACTTTTTTATTGGATCATGCTTGTAAGTGTTTCCACTAACAGGAAAACGTTTGTGAAAAATGGAAATTTGAGGCAATATTAGAGAAATTTATCATTGACTGTGGAAGCACTGACTAAACAAAATGGCGTTTGGTCGTTAGGAAAATAAAAAAAAAGTTTAAAAAAAAAGTTAAAACCGACCTACCCTACCTAAGTTTTTACAAGAAGAAATATAAAACCCACATATTTTTTTGGCCCAATACAGTTTTAGATGCACTGCAGTGCAGATCAACATTACCGGCCGAAATGCATCACAGCATCAATCATCATGCTAATAAAGGACCATGAAAAATTTTCCTTCGTCCATTGTCCGAGAAAAACTGATCAAAGTCCGACCATTTTTTGTCTTGATCGGACATCTGTCCTTGCAAGCAAAATAATTATTTCCAGGCCTGCAATCTCACAGTAGATTCGTGGCCGCCATTGGCTTTATAGTCACCATTGGCAGTCATTGTAGTTTGCGGGTCAGTGCGCAGAAAGTACTATGGTAAGAGCAAAGGGCAAAGGGATCCAATCACAGTAGTGAAGAACAAAAAGATATTTTTTCTGTCACATGCTTCTGAAAAAAAAGATTACACTTACCTGATTCTATTAACTGCTCGGTAGATTTGTCTGACATTACTGTAACGATTTAGATGGAAAATTACTTTCGTTCTCGATGAGAAAACTGTTACGGAGATGCGTCCTTTTGATCTGGAAATTTTAAACGCGCTGGCAACTTGTTTGACGAAGTTCAAGCAACGTTTGAAGTTTCCTCTGCCATAAGATTCGATGCTTCCTGAGCCATCCACCAAGAACATCAAATCAATCCTCGCGCTACAACTCTTTCCTAGAGGCAAAAAGGACAGCAAAATATATAAATAGAACAGTATGGAATGTTGAAAGAATTTGTAGATGGCGATTTCGAGAGGAATTTCTATACATTTACTGAACATGCAGGAGCAGTTGCTTTTCAATTAGTGTTTAGCTTTTAAGTCGGGTATTTACAACTGAAAATGAACATTTATGTGCAAAAATTGAAAAAACATCGATCGGTAAACGTAGTAATTTTTCAGCTCCCGCGAAGCCCACGCGTGTTTTCTACCTACCAAATGGTACAAAAGGGATGTGGACTGGTCTTCTGCGCCTACGTCTTCTACGCCTCCGTCTTCTACGTCCTCTTCCGCGTCTCCGTCTTCTACGTCTCTTCCGTCCGCGTCGTCCTCGTCGTCGTCGTTTTCTGCGTCTTCTTCGTCTGCGCTTTGGGCGTCGTTTACGTCTACGTCTCCGTCTTTTGCGTTTCCGTCTTATCCGTCGACCTAAAAATGAAACAAGTAAATTAAACAATGAAATAGGTCATATTGCTATGTGTAACCCTCATTATGATTGATATATTTAAAAAATTTAGACTTTGCAACCTTGAAATACATCTTCAGGGCTGCAAATTACTGTCGGACATCGGACAATGTCCGACTAAATTTGGCAAATGTCCGAGCAAAAGTAATTTTGACAATTGTCACATTATACATTTTTTTGCTGTGACAAAATCCGATTGCAAATTCACTCAATTTGCATTTTGCAATAAAATTTACGAGACATTCTAGCACTTTACTTAACGTTGCGCCGGAATGGCTATACATACTTGTCTCGTGACGTATATATTTCTTGTGACGTATACTGTATATGTCCGACCAGATTTAGTAGTGTTGGTTTTTGTCAGACCAAATTCAAGTTATGTCCGACCAAAATTAAAAGTGATCGGACAAATGTCCTGTCAGGTCAAATATTTATTTGCAGCCCTGATCTTTCATTTACACTCTGCCATTAACTCACATTGATCATATACAAATATTTAGCAACCTAGATCCTATTGAATTATAAAATTAAAGATAAAAAATGCATAGTAAATTTCAGTTATTTAGATTCATTGTAAAACTTCGCGGAACGATGGAATAAAGGGTCCCTAAAACGATTAGTTCTACATTTAAACGGAACAGGTTCTTTGGGAACACGTGAATTGTGGCTAGGACTTTTCATGGTTTTGACAAGTTTAGATAGTGGACTAGACAGCGTCTTATTCCTAAGGAATGCAGAACATAAATCCTAATACTAATGATAGATAGATGATTCTGACAGCTCTTGACTGTATACTTTCGATATCTTTCTATAAGTAATCGGGGATGTTATGCCAAATTTGGGTACAGAATAATCATAACTCATGCATCAGATGAAGAAAATCGCACTATATAGAAATTGCTACGAAAATCGCAAGTGCAAACGGGCCTGTATGAATTGACAACCAAACCATTTAATTTCACGTCAAATATGTTTGTACTAACTTGGTTTCTTCTTCCGAATGGCACCACCAGCCTCTGAAATATAGACAAGGAATAACAAAATTAGCAAAAAACAGTCACCAAACTAATTCCACTTAAAATTTCTGGCAGCGGGAGGAAAGTTTCAACAGCACTGCTGCCAAGGAAATGTTTTAGCAAACTTTTTTGCAGAAAATTTTCTAACATCTTGAGGGAATTTTTGTCATCCCATACACTTGAATGCCATAAAACTTACTTTACTTTACGTTTACAAAAGCGTTTTGCAAGTTGCGATTGTCTGGTGCCGAGAAAGAAATTGATCACAATGGCGGCAACTATAACAATTATAGCCACGATTTGTGGCTATAAGGTACGCCTGTTTTAGGCATACCTTTCACCAACGGTTAGAGGAAAATATTATTGAGAGGGGAAGGGAGGGGTGCGCCGCCTATGATATGAAATGATACTAACTTTTACAAGCTGTTGATTGAATTCTATTGATGATTGATCCCAATCGCTTGAAACCAACAGTAATAACATATCTACTCTTAGGAGAGCTTGCCATAACTTGCAATTGTTTTCTATTATACCGCCTTCCAATGCCAACAGCGTATACGGAAACGCGAGATCTCTGCAATTTTCTGGAGTAACTATTGACTCTGGTACGTGATCTACCATCAGTCATGACAATGAGTACCCTAGAAACACCTCGACGTGCTCGACGTAATACTTGACTGTAGATTGTCTTTAGGCCACGTGCAGTGTTGGTGCCTCTTCTTGGGTACCTAGACAGGACAAAAGAGTTCTTCCAGTTTTAGAGAAGAATACAGCATCTAATAGAGAAGAACAGTACTCGACAGGCAACAGGCGATGCTGCTGGAACGCTTTTTAGTACTAGGGCTGGATATGTAGTATCATTTTGAATCCAATGAGCCAATTTTGAAGCCTGAATATTTATAATGAGAAGAGATTATCCCTGAGCCAACGGCGCGGAGCGCCGGCTATTTACCCCCGGGGAAAGGAAAGCATTAGGGAAGTCTAAAGTTCATCAGTGATCGCGGGCGTGGGTTACTGTGCGTGGGTTACTGGGCGTGGATGGTCATCCTCACTGATCTCAAAATGTAGCGGACTGTCATGAATGGCGAACACTGATTGGTCCAATTTAAAATTTGAATTATAACGACTGCACGACGACAGAGAAATAGCAGACATTTCTTGATTTCTTGGAAATATATTTCATTTTTACCATAGGCAGCCCACTAAACAATAGAATTTAAATTAAAACTGCAGTGAAATTATAAAATTAACGAAAATAATCACAAATTAGCGAAATATATTGCTAAGTGTAGCTTATATTAAATCGCCACCCGATTGCACTATCGGTCAACTGACGTATAGTTATAAAGTATACCTAAGGTATAAGTAAGTATAAGCATGGATAATAAAATAAATGGATAGGACTCTAGCTGACGTAAGCAAAAACAACCTAGTTGCAATCTGTGACGTCACGCGTATTGCAAAGTTCTCGGCATTTTTTGTTGTTTCGCTATACTTTCCGCTTTAAAAGAGTAATATTGAAGCATATACTGGTCTAATTGTTTTAGAAACACGCCTAAGCCACGACAAACTATTCAAGGTAAATGTTTTTCGTCTTTGTTTTGTATTTTTTTACATTTGTAGCTACGAAATTGGCGTCCCCAATTTTAACGAAATTTGGGATGCATTTTTCACTGTTTGGTGCTTGAAATATTTGCTAAAATTGACTGGGAATACTTAGAAATTTCATCGTAGAATGGCGTAGTTATATTTACTTGCTCTTTGACTAAAATGTTTAGCTGTATTATTGCCAAACATGCCGTTTTTAGAATTTGGTTTGCAACTAAGTTTCAACATCCAACCACGCCATCAGCCCATTGAAAACATTAGATCACGTCAGCTAGTTTCCTATCCATTTATTTTATTATCCATGGTATAAGGTATACTTAGTTATACATCAGTTGGCCGATAGCGCAATCGGGTGGCGATTTAATATAATTAAGCTACACAGCAATATATTTCGCTAATTTGTGATTATTCACGTTAATTTTATAATTTCACTGCAGTTTTAATTTAAATTCAGTCGTTTAGTGGGCTGCCTATGTTTTTACAAGATTTTGTAAATTTCAAAAGCTTTTTGAGAAAAAGACGACGAAAGAATTGCGAAAAGGGAGCAAAGACGCCCACGTTAATGATGGTAAGTTTGTTTTAAATATTGATGTATTGTTTGCTTTATAATCGCGTTAAAAGTTGATCTCACAGTAGATTCGTGGCCGCCATTGGCTTTATAGTCACCATTGTTTATAATCAGTCATAGTTTGCGGACCAGTGCCCAAAAGTACTACAGCAAGAACAAAGGGACAGATGGACCAATCACGGTAGTGAGGAACAAATATATAATTTTTCTGTTACACGCTTCTGAAAAAAGATTACACTCACCTGATTCTATTAACTGCTGCATAGATTTGTTTGACATTACTGTAACGATTTAGATGGAAGATTACTTTCGTTCTTGAAGAGAAAACTGTTACGGAGATGCGTCCTTTTGATCTGGAAATACTAAACGCGCTGGCAACTTGTTTGACAAAGTTCAAGCAACGTTTGAAGTTTCCTCTGCCATACGACTCGATGCTTCCTGAGCCATCCACCAAAAACATCAAATCAATCCTCGCGCTACAACTCTTTCCTAGAGGCAGAAAGGACAGCAGGGTATATAAATGCATTGCATTGAAGAATAAAGTGCTTATGACGCGAAATTTCACCTAATCTTTTCTTGATTGCATTGCAAAGATCACTTGGTAGAATACTTGTACCTCTTCCCTCTTGAGATATTCATGCGACTTCGTTCGATATGCAAATATCATCAATAGGGGGAACGATAACAAATATCTAAAATTGTGCTTATGTATGCATTTAATCATTAGGCTTCCGTATCTGTGTGTGGAATATTTTAACCAATTTCAAAATTAATGATGCTCTTCAAAAATTTCATTATGCTGTGTGATGTGAAACTGATGATATTTGCAGAGTTGAATATCTCCGGAAGGAATAGAGCTACCAATATTCTACCAAAGAGGTTATATAATCATTCCAAGTGGTCTTTCCAATGCAGTCTTTCAGAATAAGCAAATTTAGAAACACGTTGTCATAAAAAGCGAAGGGGCCACGTCCGAATCGACGTTATCACCAGTACCCACCCACTCATCTCAGATAACGTCGATCGTTACCCTGTCGTATTTTGACCGCTAAAAGAGCTCAAAATCAAAATGGCAAAAGTGCCTCTTATAAAATATGGGATGTACAGTAGGATCTTTATTATAAAATATGAGAAGTTTTATAGGGTATGTTTTATCATTATTTTCATACTAGACTATTCGTTTCGTAGAAAAAAGTCGCGATTCGCGAACACAAATTGATGGGTATTTGACACGAAAAAATGTCTCTTCAATACTTCGACATTTGTTTTGACCTCTATTAGTTGAAAATAATATAATACTGGCATAAGTTGCACGCCAAACATTAAATATTTAAATTCGGTCTGTTCGGATCACGACGGATGCAAATAGTCAAATTGCCACGAGATAACGTCGAGGAGTTGACGTAAAAACCTACTCATCCACCCATAACGTCGATTCGACGTTATGCGTGGCAAAAACAAGTTCAGTAAAAAACCCGGGAGAACCACCAGCAAACCTTTGTTTTTCTATCTATGAAAGATTTGAACAAAACACGAAATAATATGGTCTGCAGTTCCATCAATCTTATCTTCTCAATTAGTTTTTAGCTTTTAAGTCGGGTATTTACAACTAAAAATGAACATTTTATTGGCAAAAATTGAAAAACATCGATCGGAGAACGTAGTAATTCTTCAGCTCCCTCCCGCGAAGCCAACGCGAAATACACGCGTGTTTTATACCTACCAAATGGTACAAAAGGGATGTGAACTGGTTTTCTGCGCCTCCGCCTTCTACGTCCTCTTCCGCGTCTCCGTCTTCTACGTCTCTTCCGTCCGCGTCGTCCTCGTCGTCGTCTTCTGCGTCTTCTTCGTTTGCGTTTTGGTCGTCGTCTACGTCTACGTTTCCGGCTACGTCTCCGTCTTCTACGGCGCCTTCTTCGTCGACCTCTCAAAGACTTGATGTACCTGTCACTAAAGGCTTTACGTTGAAAGACTCCTTGGCAAGCGACCATTTTGGATTCTTTGTTATCGGGAGAAGAGTTGACTCCATTTTGAGAGAGAAAAGTATCAATACTACCTTCTGGCTCGTCGTCGTCATCATCGTCATCGTCGTCGTCGCCTAGCAACAGAAGAACGAGATTTCAGTCTTAGTATAAAGCAGCATATTGGTATAAGGGTATATTCATATCAAATATCGAGATTTTGTTGCCATCTCTGATCACTCGATTCAATAATAGTTGAAGGGTCTTGCATGTAGATGGAGATTATCCAGTGGAAATTTACATACATTTATTAAACCTAACCAGGATTCATATACAACATTTAAAAGAAATTTAGTACCAGTTATTAAACCTAACCAGGATTCATATACAACATTTAAAAGAAATTTAGTACCAATTATTAAACCCAACCAGGATTCATATACAACATTTAAAAGAAATTTAGTACCAAATAATTTAGTGTGATACCTTTTAACTCTCATTTTTTGCTATATTTAGTAAGTAATGCTTTTTGTAAATATGCATGTGCACGGCCTATTGGAAGATCACTTCTCATTTTGTAAATATTTTTAACTTTATTGTGAAATAGCACGGTGGGTAAATAAAGTCATCATTATTATTATTATAACAGCAGCGAAATTCTCGATATTTACCCATAACTTAAACATGGCAGTACCCTATATTATACATGAACTTGTGGTTGAAGCTCGACAACTGGCTTCTGTAGCTCAGACTAATATAAGCTCAGTTGCTTAGAGCGCTGAACAATGTATATAAATGTATATAAATTTCCACTCAATAAATTCCATCTTAAGACCCTTCAAACGTACATTTCTTGGGCTATTACTTCATAAGTTTCATTTAAACGAATTTGAACGATTCTGTGCGTTAATGTAACTGTGGAATAACTTAAAAACAGTCTTCACGTTTCAGTTAATTAGCACGTTAATTAAATTAATGAGATAATTACCAAAATTAACAGACATATCACTGTCGCTTTTCATCTGCGAGTCTCCTATTACAACGCCAGACGACTTCTTAGACGGTTTCGCCGAGGTGCCTTCACGTGTCTGCGTCATGAATCTGCAGATTTGGTTAACTTCATCAGGCCTGGCGAATCGTTCCGTATCGTCTTCCCCTCGGCCGATCTCGTCACGAGCCGTAGCATATTTGTCGTCGTCATCATCGTCCGAGTCGTCGTAGCCGTTCATGTCATCGTCATCATCCTTATTTGATTTTTGTTTATTTTTTGAATGGTGATTATGACCGGTATTGGCAGACGGCATTGCTATAATGAAATCAAACAAAACTGTTAAAGGACATTGGCAATAAAAAAATTAGTTTAGTTCATTTGAAAGAACTCTTAAAACAGTATATTAAACTCTATTACATATTGTTTATATCTTGCTTAGTTTTCAAAGTATTTCGACTGAAAAAAGTGAGCTGTTCGCCATATTGGATTATTGAGGATATGCATGTTACGTCAAGAGAGGGGTCACACCAATTTTTTATCTTGAGAGTAAGCAATCAATATGGGTGCTAGCCTGCGTTTAGTGCGGGCGGGAGAAGAAATGGCGTCGTTGCGTCGTTTCTGGTTGCTGTCTGAAATTTAGAAATTATTAAAAACATTTCAACCAATTTTGGAATGTTACTCGGTCATTTTAGAGTGGTTTTATATGGTTAACCCAATTCCTGACGTAGAGTTGTGCGCCGGAGCCGGAGCTCCGGCATATTTTGTCGGATCCGGAGTTGGAAAACTCCGGCAAAAACTCCGGCAGACAAAATTATCAGTGAAAAATTATTTCATATTTCAATGAACTTTTGGTAATGGAAAAATTAAGTTGAATGATTTGAAGTTACTATAAATTTTAGTTACTTGCTCCGATCCGATTCGTGGCTTCCAAAATTCTGCAAGCGCATTGCTAGTATCGCTTTTGATACAAAAATCCCCTGACCCCGATGTATTTTGGGCGAAAATACCACGCTGCCGTGCGGTTTTATACTTTCTACAAAACATTGTTTAAACAAGCACCGAAGCACGTATATTTGATAAGTAAAGGAGAAAGCTCAAAAATTAAGGAATAAAATAAATTCTGAAATTACACTGAAATACTTTCGCCTGCTTCTACTTTTAAATATGAAATTTCATTAAAATTTCCTTGCCGGAGCCGGAGCACGAGCCGGAGTTTTGACTGCCGGACCCGGAGCCAAAATAACCAGAGTTTGCACAGCTCTATCCTGACGTCATCAAAACCATGTCACGTTAATGAGGTAAATAATAATAATAAGTAAATATTTCTAATACCGTGATCATGAACGACCGATGTACCAGAGCTGTCAGACTGGGCAAACGATGGCGCATTCTGGTTCAGCTGTACGATCGGATCGTAGCTCTGATTCGCATATCCCGGATTATACTCGACTTTCTGATTGGTCAATCCTGAACTGTAGCCGTATAAACTTTGAGCCGCATCGGGTGCGATACCCGCGGTCAGGTTCCCAGCAGTGATTTGAGATACAGGATTCGATTGGGTAGAAGCGGTCAGGACCGCTAAACGGTTGTCCAATTGTCTTTTAATAAGTTCTACGAAATGAAACATGAGAAAATGATTATTGAAATGAGAAACATACATGTATTAAAATAATGTGTAGTCCAAAAATTGGACATTTCAAAAAGCAGGCTTCCCTTGGTTTTGCATGCAAAAATTTGACGTCCAAGAAAACACTCTTTTAATTTAAGGACATTGGCAATACAAAATTAGTTCAGTTCATTTGAAAGAACTCTTACTGTCGTTCCAATTGAAGTGTTGCTCAAATATTGATTCAATACATTACCTCGGGCTAACCAATTCATTTCATCAAGTTCCTCGAGATATTCATACACTTCCTAGTATAATTGTAAACTTCCGGTTGAATAGTTTGAATGCACCAATCACCTTTGTTGCTTGTGCAACTAACCAATCATAAATAGAAAGGAAGTGACCAGAAATGATCAAATACTTGGAATTGGCTCAGGAAGTGTATAAATATCTCGAGGAACTTGATCAAATGAATTGGTCAGCCAGAGGTAATGTATTGAATCAATATTTGAGCAACACTTCAATTGGAACGACAGTAAAACTATATATTAAACTCTATTACAAATTGTTTATATCTAGCCTACGGTGTAGACCCCAGCAGAAACACGTTTCCCTCACGAAACGTGTTTCTGCTGGGGTCTACACCGTAGGCTAGTTTATATCTTGCTTTAAAGTTTTCAAAATATTTCGACTGAAAAAAGTGAGCTGTTATCTTGAGAGTAAGCGATCAATATGGGTCAAAAACTTCGTTTCTGTTCGCTGTCTGAAATATAGAAATGATTAAAAACATTTCAAACAATTTTGGATTGTTACTCGGTCATTTTAGAGTAGTTTTATATGGTTAACCCAACTCCTGACGTCATCAAAACCATAGTTAATAAGGTCAAGGATTATTCCAAGATGGCGGACAGCTCACTAATTTGGGTCTAAATATTTCGAGAACAAATCGGTAATATAGAGTTTAATAATTTTAAGAGTTCTTTTGAATGAGACAAACTAGATTTTTATTGTCAATGTGCTGGTTTGCACTATCAAATTTTCTGTGATCACAGAAGAAATTTTGCATGGGTAAATTCTTAGTTTTGAAGGATTTGTAAGAAATGCTTGAGAGAAACTGACTCAATGTTTATTAAAAAATGAATCGGTTCCCTAAAAAATTTCTTACGTATCCTTCAAAACTTAGAATTTACCCATGCGAAATTTCGACTGTGATCACAGAAAATTTGATAGTGTCAAGCTTAAGTTTAAGCTGAATTAGCTGATTAAAAGTATAAAGTTCATTCAAACGATATTTTATGGTCAGGAAAAACTTGTATCATGAATCGCGACACTATTCATCTCGGCCCATATGAACAGCCCCTTGAAATCCTTATTAAAGCACTTTTCTTTGAAGAAAATAGTATACGGTTAGTTTCAAGGCTCTAGCCTGGGAACGAGGTTGCGGGCTTCCGGCGTTCTGGGGAAAGATTCGACGTGCAGAAACGATCTTATTTTGTTAATTTTCCGTCTCAAACAGCGAAAAATCTGACTCCTCGTATTAAATTCTCCCACTTTGATCTCTATTGGGGAAGAGGGGGGCATTAGCTCACTCGCTACAAGTTTTGGGGGCTATATCTCCCTATCCCCTCACCCAAATTCCACTGCTGTCTGCCGACGTGCAAATTCGAGCAAATTCAAAGACTTTAACACTGTCAATTTCAAGAAGTTGATTTTAACTCCACAAAAGTGTATTATTCCGTCAACAAAAACGTTGACAGAACAAAGCCCTAATGAAATGAGATGAGAGTTGGCAAGCGAGAGTTTGCACCAGAAGCTTTCTCAACTCTCATTGCCCGGACAAATTACGAGAACAAGAGTTGCATGAGAGTTGATACGATTTGACTGGATACTACCGCTCGCGTGAAGCGAAAACTCTCATCAACTCGCGTTAAAATTTGAAGCAGTTCAAAGTTGATGAGAGTCGACGAAAGCTGGCGGTGAAACACGATCTTTCTCAACGGCCAGTTTATACCTGTAAACCACAATAAATCATAAGTATTCTTTAGTTTTTTTTTTCTGTGTTGGTGTTATGTACTTAGGTGAATATGATGTTTGTGATGTTACTCTGAGTGTATATCCACACCGGGCAAGCTTGAAAAATATGCCCGGCCACGGTGGGAATCGAACCTACGACCTTTGGAATGCTAGCCCAATGCTCTGCCAACTGAGCTACGCGATCAGGTCGGTTCGAATATGTGATATTTCGGAACTGAGTCTAGTTCCTTCGACATCAATGCAGTCTAGTAATCATGATTTTTTTCTGTGTTGGTGTAATGTACTCAGGGGAATATGATGTTTGTGATGTTACTCTGAGTGTATATCCACACCGGGCAAGCTTGAAAAATATGTCCGGCCACGGTGGGAATCGAACCTACGACCTTTGGAATACTAGATACTTATTCCCTATAGTTATAATCACACCGCGTATTTTCAGTTCCAAAATGTTGTATCTCGGCTGATGAGAAAGATCGTGACTCAATCTTTACGACCGTTACGACCATATAGAAACCTGCAGGTTAAAGATTTAACTCTTTGAAATTTCCAAGTCAAGGTGAAGTCAAAGAACTCAAAAATATGGCAAAAATATTTATTATACGACCAACGAGGCGTTTAAGTATATGCAAAATTTGCGATAAAAAATCACGAAGTCTTCTTTGACATGGTAATTTGAATCGCGCCAAGACAAAGACGATGTAACAATGTCACGGTTTAATCGCTTCCACCCCCTGTGTCTATGGTAATAAACACGAATATATGATAGATAAAAATGGTTACAGAGAATTATATTAAGATACAAGTGTGAAATTTAAGTCCGTATCTTAGTTTACCCCAGGCGAATATCTGAAATAACTGAAGTCAATGCCAAGACGCGGATACCTGTCAGTCAGACTTACAAGAAAATTTACCAAATTAAATTTAGAAAACTGGAAAAAAGGTTGATAGTATATACATATTATATACAATGTCAAAACTCACCCGATTTTTCGTCTGAATAAACCAGACGAGTTCCATAAATGGAGAGCAGGAAAATCAAGAAAACTGAAAAATCCATGCTCTCTGCATTCAGCTAACAGCAAAATTCTCTGCTGTTTTTCTGATGAAAAAACGCGATTAGGTGTCTAACTTAGACACAAGCTCGCACTGAAAATAAAAATGTATATTTTCCCGTTAACTATTTGATGCAAATAATACGTTTTAAAGCTTCGAATAGATACGCAGCTCCGATTGCAAAGCAATCAATAAAATATGCATGGGATATTTTTGTTTCGTTGAATAAGGTACAGTAGCTCAATAGACCGGCTCTGCTACTAGCAAAAACAATCCTGGTGGCGCACAGAGAATTTGAAAACAACTTAGTGAACACGACTTGTTTGCTTGGAAAACAAAACGTAAGGTCTTTTATCCATAAAGAAACAATATACAAACCACTTATAATTTTTTTTTGTATTTTTGTAAGTCTTTCAAATTTTCATGCTCTAGTTAACGTCAGCATTATTAGCTATGGGCAGGGGCAAATCATTGTTCAATTTTTGTCTAGCTTATAAAATACAGTCTTCTTCGTCAAAGGAAATTCTTGAATTGATATTTTGAATTAAAAGGTGTTTATAAATAACAACCAGTATCTTGAACAAAGATTAAGACAAAATGTAAGACCTTTCACCCATAAACCAACAATATATGAACTGCTTAAAATTTAAATTTCTTAAAATTTAAATCGTTAAAATTTTCGTGTTCTATAACGGAATACAAAAGCCAAGGCTAGGGCAAGGCATATATCGCTGTTCACATTGTCCAGTTTATATGTAGGAGTCTTCACGTTTTACTTTTATTTTTGATATTTTGAGTTTCGAAAGATGTTTGAAAATAATGTAAATGCCATCTTCATAAAAGATCAAGTTACTGTACTCGTCTATAAATAATTTATGGTAATCTAGGTCGTGGGCCAAAATTATTTCGCTTCGTGGCACCCTTGTGGGAAGTACTTGGTTTGTGGTTTATTTGAAAGGCATATAGGTATATTACTACCAAAAAAAGTTCCCAAGCAAAAAACTTGCCCAATACCGAGAAAATGGGTGATCAATGATTATCCTCTATTAAATTGTTATAGTACAGCTAAAAAATGGGAAATTTTGTATTCAATTACAATAAAAATGACTTGCATCATCGGAAAACGTACAAAAACCGCATACAAGACTTTCAAACAGTTTTTTGATTCTTCAAATAGTCTTTGAGTTATTGCTGCTTTAAATGTGAAAATTGGACCAAAATGTCGCAATAAGGACTGGGTTCTAAGTCAAAAACGCGTTTTTGACAACGTACAACTCGAAAACAATGAGATATAAAAATAACTGTTTAAATGTCTTATATGTAGGTTTTTGTAAGCTTTCTGATGATGCAAGTCATTTTCGTTGTAACTGAATACAAAATTTCATATATTTTCTTGCTGTAATACAATTTAATAGAGGATAATCACTGATCACCCACTTACTCGGTATTGGGCAAGTTTTTGCTTGGGAACTTTTTCTGGTAATTGAGCATCTATAGTACTATGCATTGAACCACAGAAAATCTATTCCCCAGGGGGTGCCACGAAATTGCTTTTCGGCCTAATAAACATCTAGTCTTTATTGTTTTTATTCTGACTTTTTTAATTAAGACGTATTATCTGAACAAGTTAGCAAATGGTCAGAGAACAATTAATGATGCTTGGGTTGTTAGTCGGATAGTTGACTAATCACCGTAGTTAAGTGTGCGTGGGGTTTGCGTGGGGGCGTTTAAACACAAAATTACATAAAGTAGTGATTAACGACCGCTGACAAGCATTTTTAAGATGATTATAGATTCGTATTTTGGAAATAGGCGGGAATTTCATTCAAAAATAGGGAAAAAATATTCAAACGAAAAGCGTTCCAATATACTGTTTTGAGACCTGAGATGCTAGGTTTGCAAGTGGTACAAAAAAGTAACGGCGTTTGTGTTCACACGAAGCCGCCATGCGCTCCGTTTTCATCTCGCTCCGTTTAGGAACCTCAAAATTGTTACGGCAAAAGTGATTTTTTCAAACAATTTCGCTCCGGCGTAATGTACATCCCAGTTACACAATCCCGGATTCGCATCGGAGCGACATCAAATTTTACAGTTTCAAGGGGAGTTTAGCACTCAAAATTATGATGATATAACAAAATTAGTGAAAAACTTCAAATATGAAAAGTTGTAAGGGGCCGAAAAGCGTCTCAGTTGATGTCGCTCGACTCGTTCCCATGCGAGGTTCAGAATTGACTTCCATACTTCTGACTGGTTTAGTCCGCATCTGATTGGTTAATCGAATATATGAAACGCATCTGATTGGTTAATCGAATATATGAAACGCATCTGATTGGTTAATCGAATATATGAAACGCATCTGATTGGTTAATCGAATATATGAAACGCATCTGATTGGTTAATCGAATATATGAAACGCATCTCATTGGTTAATCGAACATATGAAACGCATCTCATTGGTTAATCGAATATATGCAACGCATCTCATTGGTTAATCGAACATATGAAACGCATCTAGTGGTAGTGGAAATCAAATCTGAACTCTAGTAAAACTTCGAGTCGTATGTGTAGCTTATATGCAGTATGACGAGAGTGAGTAGAATAACCCGGTTAATAATATACATGAAAAAATTTCTCAATTCTGATTGGCTAAGAGCAGTGCAATTTTTTCGAAATACAGTGCCAAAAAATGAAATACAGTGCAGATTTCGTGCGATTTTGATCGTCTTTGAGAAACTCACTCGTGCATGTTTTCACTCGAAACCATAGTATTTTCATTGTGTTTTTCAAACACTCATTAATATTAAATTGATAAGCTTCTTAGCCTGTTAAATCACTGATAATGCGTCACGTGCAGTGACTTTATACCTGATAAAACACTTTTCATTAGCATTCTTTACATAAAGAATACTAATGAATCCGCGCTACGCGCTCCTGTTTTTAAACCTAATAAAACACTCCTGCTCTTTTATTAAACTGTACATAATTAACGGCAATTTAAGAGTCACTCTGTGGAATTACCATTAAGCATTTATTATTATTATTATTATTATTACTATTAACTTGCAGTTCTCTCGTTCAGAAAACGTCGGTCATTCTTGAGCCGCCATCTTGTTTGTTTTTTTACTGGCATGATTATGAGCTCATATCCTGGTAGTAGATAGCCAACCAAATTGCAGAATAGCTTATACCCGGTATTTGTCTATATAATAATGAACCATATTGAGCCATATATTTTCGCCACTCCTTTTGCACAAACTGCAAAAAACTTGAAAAATTCAGTAAACCTGAAAAAGTTTGAATGTCTGACGAATTCTTTAACTGTACAGTATATACAACTACATACACCACCAGTAATCTATTACTACTGTTAACACTGAACCATATTCATGTGTGCTACCACACAGTGTCCAATACCCGTTGGATGCGGCTATTCCTTACTGAAATTCTACCTGTCAAATAAAATATCTTGGTTCATTTGTTTCCCAACAATTGTATTTTACGATGATCGACTTTTTCTAAATGTACAATACTGAAACAGCCATTAAGGAAAATGCCACTAATTAAAGGTCTAATGAATACACTGAAGGCTACGCTATCTGGTCATCTATTCGGGGGGGGGTAACACCGAAGAGAAAAGGGATGGGTATAATCCAAATTTTGAGTGAATGAAAGGTCTCCAAAGAAAGTACATGTGCAGACAACATGAAACTTTAGGCTGCATAAATTTGAACAGTCGAGCAGTTATCAAACTCATGTCACAGAAGTGGTATCCTTTTGTAACGTTTTTGGCCAGCGGTAGGTATTTATTTTTTAATTAATTGATATTTAATGTTGGGAAATTTTTTTTTGACTTTTTAATGGTTAGATCAGCAATATTTTTACCATGAAAAACATTTCTCTTCGGCGCCACCCCCCGTCAAAAATAATTACCAGGCCCTTAACTTAATATTCCTGGTTATTTTAAAGATGATTTCCACTCCGTTCTGCGCATCAGTTCTGCTCATAACAAAGGGGGACTCGCAGATATAAACATTGTCCAAATTTTGCATCTTTCGAACTTTTTTGAATTGAAACGTAGAGTTTATATTCATTTACAAGCATGGCGAACCAGAAAAGTGTTAGATATTCAGTTAGTATTTCATATTTTACAAATATAGCAGTTCAAAACGTAAACAAAGTTCGCACATGCGCACACGAGTGGACATCATCTTTAACATTTTTTCCTAGGCCAGTTCCTTGGAGTTTTTTGTTTCCGCCTTGCTATTTTAGGGTGGTATTTTGACAAGGTTTGCAGGTTGACCGAGATTTCGGATTAGACGCAAGCAACGGTGTGAAAGGTTGATTGTCATATAACTGTTTAATATGTAAAGGATACGGCCGTAATTGCTCCGTAAATGATTTCAGTTCATCTCCAATACTGTCCTATATTGACAACGGCGGAAAATCAAACTTTTAGAAATTCTAGGTTGTTACAAAAACTTTATTGCTGTGACGCCACGAATAGTTGTTCTTATACAGTTTCTAATTATCAGTGGGAAAGGATAAATATTGTCCGAATAGAAACTTATTAACTATAGTCTCTCTTTCCCCTTAAATTTGCCCATGAATAACGAATGGTTCACACCAAGATGGCTGTCACAAGTCTCATTTTCTAGTGTTTAAATTGAATTGTAATCAAGGCCCAACGTTTCGACACTCCAGGTATGGTAGACCCAACGTATCAAGACCCAACGCTTCGACACACCAGGTATGGTAGACCCAACTTTTCGACACTCCAGGTATGGTAGACCCAACGTATCAAGACCCAACGTTTCGACACACCAGGTATGGTAGACCCAACGTTTCGACACACCAGGTATGGTAGACCCAACGTTTCGACATACCAGGTATGGTAGACCCAACCTTTCGACACCCCAGGTATGGTAGACCCAACGTATCAAGACCCAACGTTTCGACACTCCAGGTACGGTAGACCCAACGTTTCGACACCCCAGGTATAGTAGACCCAACGTATCAAGACCCAACGTTTCGACACTCCAGGTATGGTGGACCCAATGTTTCGAAACTCCAGGTATGGTAGACCCAATGTTTCGACACTCCAGGTATG